GATTGAATAGCATCAATTTCTTTGAGAACTAGCACGTTAATATTAACGACACGTAATCTATTACGGTGTGGAATTGTCTTATGTATGTCTTTAGTCAGATTTAATGCTGCAAAATAACAATACTGTGGCCTTCAGAATGTGTGGTAACTAGGTGGGAGGTATGAGAAGAAAGCTGCAGTTTCAGGAGTTCTTATGATGACTCAGTGCCTCCTGCTTGCAACGTGGCTGGTTTTTTTAAAATATCCACATAAGCACTCTTGGTTGCACAGATGGGACTGGAGTTTATATCAGGTTGTATAACAGCTTTCCTTTAACTCTCAGCAAAGTCTTGCTTTACCAAAACAAGATTTGTTTGTAACCTATTTATCTAATTGTTTTATCTCTTCTTACAAAACGCTAGTTTTACTGGAAGCTGTTATCCTATAATGCACAACAGTGTTGTGCTATGTGTAAAACATAACAAATGTAGACTGGGATAATCTTCAAAAAGCATGTCTGTTTCAGAGGAATAAGTTTCAAAGTAAATTAATCTAGAAGACTTCCTGTGTGCCGTAATACAGAAATCTATATTCAGCTGCTAAGTAAACACTACAGTATTTTCTATGTAACTGGTAGTTGTGTAGCAAACTATGAACACTGTATTGTCGAAGGCTTTCATGGCCGGAATCACTGGGTTGTAGGTTGTAGGGTTTTTTTCAGGCTTTATGGCCATGTTCTAGAGGCATTCTCTTCTGACGTTTCGCCTGGATCTATGGCAAGCATCCTAATATTGATTTTAAATCAATATTAAAGTGCATTTGAGGACATATCCGGCCCCTGGGCCTTAGTTTGAGGACCCCTGCTCTAGAACATGGCCATATAGCCTGAAAAAACCTACAACAACCCAATATGAACACTGTTTAAGTTGGGGGTATTAAGTGGTTTAGTGACTAAATTGTGTGTGGGGGGGGGGGAACTGTCCATAAAATAAAATGGGATGCTATAATACAGATGAGGTGGACATTTCTTGTGAGATATATATATGTGTGTGCGTGTGTGTGTGTGTGTGTGTGTGTGTGTTAACTTGGGTCTGCAAGGACGTTGCCCAGGGGATGCAAGGATGTTTTAATGTTTTACCATCCTTGTGGGAGGCTACTCTCATGTCCCCGCATGGGGAGCTGGAGCTGACAGAGGGAGCTCATCCACACTCCCCCCGGATTTGAACCTTGGACCTGTCGGTCTTCAGTCCTGTCGGCACTAGGGTCTAACCCACTGCGCCACCGGGGCCAATTCTTTCACACCAGAAGCGACTTGCAGTTTCTCAAGTCTCTCCTGACACGAAAAAAAGTTAACTTGGGTGTGTTTTTGGTAAAGCTCTTTTGTGTTTCTTTCAGAAAGGTTGCTTAGGGTGTAAAACAGTAATAAATGCAAAATAAAGAAGAAAGGTCTGATTGACAGAAAGTAAAAGCTAGAAAATGAATAAGACCATGATATTGTTTAAAAGAGCCAGCAGCCAAGTAGTTAAACTCCCTTCAACAATCGACAAGCTTCCACGCTAAAACCTCTCTGAAAAAAAGTTTATTTTTGGAGGAAGGACAGTAGTCTATACTGAATTTGACTCTAGTTGTAGTATTTCTCACTTGGATCTAGTCGGGCATAATATAGAAGATAAAGTATTGTTTTTGGAAGATCCAGATTTCGGTTCTCCTTGACACAGCTTTCTGTGTGGTCTTGGGAGAGTCGCAGTTCTCAGCCTGTGCGTGTACAAATGCTGATGCTAGTAATTTTACCAGTTAATCTCCAGGGTGGGACTGAATTCTTTCCTCCCAGTTAGTCTCAAAGCTGCTCCTGAAAGTAATAATGTAAGAGTTGATATAGGTGTTAATGAAGTGACCATTATAAAAGACTACAAAAATATTTTATTCCCTGCAGTTTTTCCTAGTCTCTTTCAAATTGGGCTGATCTCAAAACTTGGAGTTTATATTGAAACTCAGTGACACAAAACTGACTGATACATAATTAGCTTTTGCAAGCTTGAGTACTTGCTTGTCTCAGGAATATCTCCAGCAGAAGTAACTTTATGTTGTCTTATTTGGTGGTAGTTACATGGAAGAGCAGGAAATGAACAGTGCTTCAATATTACATGTTTCTGTTCTGAAGCAGATAGCAGTGATGCTTTCATCTTGTGGTTTTCTGCCAACATCATTCTGTGGTTGGTAGTTTAAATTTAAACCATGACTTGAAAGAGAACTAGTTTTGCATCTCCCATGTTAACTACTTAACTGGCCATGATGAGAAAAAAAATAAGAAGGAAGTGTTGGGTGTCGGTTGGAGGGTGCACGAAACATTAGTTCTGTGCAACTGCGGTGACTTATTGGGTTGTTTTTCTCTTTCCGATGGATGATCTATATGGAAAATGAAATAAGCAGAAAGGCAGGAACAGCAATTCTGGGTTGTTGTAGGTTTTTTCGGGCTATATGGGCATGGTCTAGAGGCATTCTGCAATTCTGTTTTGCTTGTAAGCTACAGGCTGCTTCCTTTTTGTTACAGAGAATATCCAAACTTCCCTTGCAAAAGTGGCGCAGCTGCAGTAATGTTTGTGCTGGAAACTATGAATTGCTTAAGGGAAGGTTACATTTTGATCCCTGTTTCAAGTCTTAACAATTACGTGGCAGAGCAAATACATTTGTTTAATTTTGTGTTGTCAAAGGCTTTTTTTTAAACTTTGTTGCCTTCAAATGTATGGAAACATATCCTTAGGGCCTCAGGCAAACCTCATTGAGATTCTTAATGATCTGAAGTTACAGGAGGGTAGATTTGATTGAATATTAGAAGGAACTTCTTAACAATGATAGAGGTTCAGCAATTGATCCAATTGCCTGGAGAGGCCTCCTGGATGCCTTCCAAAAAAAGGCTGAACAACTACCTACTGGGGATGGATGTTCTAGCTGGAGGCCCTGCATTCACTTGATGGTCATGAAGCCCCCCCCCCCCATACTCTATGATTCTGTGACTATTACAAATAATACTGTAATCTAATGTATGATTTTTCAAAGTAATGTCATATTCATAAGATGTGACATGTGAGTTGAGGTCATAATCTATTTAACTTTACTGGGGAGTGAGACTGAAGAGGAGAGGACCCTCTGAAAACACTATACTGTGTGTATAACTGGTATGTGGAGGTCCTTAAGCATGTGATAGCAAATAGGAATGTTTTAAACATTCCATCTAGAGTAGATATACAATGCTTAAGATTTTGCAAAGAATTGGCAAAAAAATAATAGTTCGCTGTTCTTGATGTCCACAACAATGCTTCCAAGAAATACTACTTCTGTTTGTACTGTACTTTAGAAACCATCCTGAGTTACTCCCTTTGAGAAGAGAGGTTATAAATTTATTTTATTTATTGTGTCAGAAGCAAACCAAACAGTTGCATTATATTAAAAAACACACATAACCGACCAAGTTATAAATAAAGTTTGTTGCTATTATTATTATTATTATTATTATTATTATCAGCAAATTTGTGTTTTATCTCTGCTCAGTTTCATCAATAAATTACTTCAGGCTTCCTCCTAACATAGCAATGAGTAGAATTTTTCCCAATAGCAAACATGGAATTTGTGCCCTGTTATTATCTACTTAAGTTTTCTGGCCTTACGTTTGCACCAGTGCCCTCCAGCTTCTTAGGAATATGTTTCTCTCAAATGGGAAACTTACATCAGCTTCCCCACTCAGATAGCTTAATGGGTTCCTTGAACTATCTTTAAAAGACGGCCAGCTATAAAACCCCAGTAACTAAGCTTTTACCAGGCGACTGTATATCTCTTTTTGATTGCTTATGCAGATGTATTCTTGAGAGTTTTTCTCAAAACTTGGAGCGTTTCTCAAATAAGAATTGTGTTCAATTCTGGGCACCGCAATTGAAGAGAGATATTGATAAGCTGGAAAGTGTCTAGAGGAGGGCAACTAAAATGATCAAGGGTCTGGAGAACAAGCCCTACGAGAAGTGGCTCTAAGACCTGGGCATGTTTAGCCTGAAGAAGAGAAGGCTGAGAGGAGACATGATGAGGGTCATGTATAAATAATAATAAAAAATAAATAAATAAATAAAAAACTTTATTTGTACCCCGCTACCATCTCCCCAAGGGACTCGGTGTGGCTTACATGAGGCCAAGCCCACAATACATCAATAAACGAAGGTAATAACAAATAATCAATACAAAACAGTTAAAATAAAACTCAAACACAAAAAAATACACAATAAGCAATAAACAGTAACAATAACATACAAGCATTTAAAATCCTATGGCCGGGCCAAATGTAATATTTAAAATTTAAAATAATGCTGGGCATGAACTCAGTAGGGTAAACTAGGATAGTGTTTTCAAGAAAGATGAGTGCGTGAAGACAATCCTAAATCAATATTAAAGTGCATTTGAGGACATAAAGCTAAGAGTTTTCCTTATTCTGGGAAGGCAAACTGGAGAGGAAGTCCTAGGGAGGAGGGAGCAAGCTTGTTTTCTGCTGCCCTGGAGACTAGGATGCAGAACAGTGGCTTCAAAACTACAAGAAAGGAGATTCCGTCTGAACATGAGGAAGAACTTCCTGACTGTGAGAGCCGTCCAGCAGTGGAACTCTCTGCCCCGGAGTGTGGTGGAGGCTCCTTCTTTGGAAGCTTTTAAACAGAGGCTGGATGGCCATCTGTCAGCGGTGATTTGAATACAATATTCCTGCTTCTTGGCAGAATGGGGTTGGCCCATGAAGTCTCTTCCAACTCTATGGTTCTATGATTCTAATTCCTGTGTACATGATTAACCAAAATCAGAGTGTTTAGAAATAGATCAACATCACATTTGGTTTCTCAGATGATGAAAGGAATCTCAATACCTACGTCTGTGCATCGTCTTTGTTTATATTCAGATGTACTAAGAAAATCCCATAACCTTCCCCCCCTCATTTATTTTAATGTGATTTTAGAGTACTAAAATGATGGGTTTTTTTCTCTCTCTCTTCAGGTTTTCACATAATAAGATGGATGGCAGCTTTGACTGTGATTGTGGTGAGCTGGAGCCACCTGATAATTAACTAACAGCATTTTTTGTAAACCAAGAGCTGCCTCTTCCTCAACAAACTATACTGTAAGCAAAAGAAGAACAGCAAGAAGAGAAAAAAGTGCTTACTGACACCCTAGAATGAAGCTGCTCAGGACCAGTCCAACACTGAATGTATCTGCACTGTGAGGAGGATGAGAGTAGAAACCTAGTTCATGCGTATTTATTCCCATTTTTGTTCAATGTTAGCCAGTTTAGCACAGTAGAGCGGAGTGCATAATATGTCACTTCATTCCGTTTGATTTCCTTGTTTTTCCTTTTAATGTCTGCGGATCTGCTGCACCTTTCTTGAACTATGAATGCTGCAACCTCTTTGTCTTCACTCAACTTGATCTGTAGCGTGTAAGTTTGAAGTCTGAAGGGGACATCACAGGCCTGGCTGGCAAATGATGCAATGAGAGTGTCAAGAATCCATCACGCAGTCAACCTGACGTTTTTCTTCTCCTTTTCTGCAAGATCCTCCATCTACCAGTGGAAGCATCTCTGTATTTTTGCAGAAGATTAGTAATTTTCAGAGGAAAACAGAAAACACAGAATTACACAATGGCAGAGAAGTTTGAAAGCCTCATGAACATTCATGGTTTTGATGTAGGTTCTCGGTATATGGACTTAAAACCTCTGGGCTGTGGTGGCAACGGCTTAGTTTTTTCTGCTGTCGACAATGACTGTGACAAAAGAGTGGCTGTCAAGAAAATTGTCCTTACAGATCCTCAGAGTGTTAAACATGCTCTGCGTGAGATCAAAATTATTCGAAGACTCGACCATGATAACATTGTCAAAGTGTTTGAAATCCTGGGTCCCAATGGGAGTCAACTGACAGATGATGTAGGCTCTCTTACAGAACTGAACTGTGTTTACATTGTCCAAGAGTATATGGAGACCGATCTGGCCAAACTGGTGGAGCAGGGGCCCTTACCGGAAGAACATGCCAGGCTCTTCATGTACCAGCTGCTACGTGGGCTCAAATATATACACTCTGCAAACGTCCTGCACAGAGATCTCAAACCAGCTAACTTGTTCATTAATACTGAAGACTTGGTGCTGAAAATCGGTGACTTTGGCCTTGCACGGATCATGGATCCTCATTATTCCCATAAGGTATGTGGAGTTGGGCATGACTTTTTTCTTTGTGAAGGAGAGCCATTTTAGACATGAGAGAAGCGTCCCACAAGGATGATAAAAACATCAAATCATCCAGGCGTCCCCTGGGCAACATCCTTACAGACGGCCAATTCTCTCACACCAGAAGCGACTTGCAGTTTCTCAAGTCGCTCCTGACATGACAAAAAAAAAAGCTTAATCGAGTCAGAATTATTTATTATTTTACTCTATTATTATTATTATTACATTTATTATTTTACTCCACTACATGTATTATTTTTCTCTTATTGTTATTATTATTGGAAAGATACGTAAGCACATTGACATTGAAGAAGGTTAGAATAAGGGTTTAATCAGAGTTGGACAGTTTTCTCTTAAATTACAGTTTTGTGTAAATATTCAAAAACATTGAACCTATTGATTCCTCGATTAATGTAATTGTATTGGTATCTATTTTTATTTTGAAATTTACCAGTAGCTGCTGCATTTCCCACCCTCGGCTTATACTCGAGTCAATCAATTTTCCCAGTTTTTTGTAGTAAAATTAGGTGCCTCGTCTTATATTTGGGTCAGCTTATATTCAAATATATACGGTATACTGTATATTTTATTTTGCTATTACACTCTTAGTGAAATTAGTATGATAAAAAGGTATTTTATAGATTTTTGTTCTTATTAAATTGGTCAATGGAATTTCAATCTTTATTTTGAGTCTATAGAACTTGGTTAGCTTAGTGTTTGGGTGATTAATTGATGGTGGGTGGAGACATCAGTGCCTACTAGTTGTTGTGGTTGTACATAACCTAGTTTTAGAGGTAATTGTTGCCAGAGAGTTGAAGATGGAATTTTCACTTGCTCTTCAGCTCTGCTATTATGCTTCCCAAAGGCGCTTAACTGTGTAAACAGAGTGTTCGAAGAGATTGGCCTTTGGTCCAGGCTGCATGACTCTTCTTTTGTGAGTTTCAGATTGAAAATAGTGTAAAATTCCAATCTTTGGGCATTGTGTGTATCTATGTCCTGGAAATACAACATTCCTGACATACCGTGCAAAGGTCAGGTTTCAGTTAGTAAATCTGGATGTAAATATCTCTTAGGCACAGAGCTCATGGTTGTCTTCAAAAGATTCAGAGTTTCTCCACCTAGCATGCTCACGGTGGTGACAATAAAATGATGTATGCTTCTATGTCGTGCTAACTTAGGTGCAAGTAAAATGTCTCTCTCTGCCTAGGGCCATCTTTCCGAAGGACTGGTAACTAAATGGTACAGATCACCTCGCCTCTTGCTTTCACCCAACAACTATACTAAAGCCATTGATATGTGGGCTGCAGGTTGCATCTTTGCTGAAATGCTGACAGGGAAAACCCTCTTTGCAGGTGGGTGGAAATGGACAGGTACAATCCTGTCATTTTATTTTAGGTACATAACCTCTGCAGTGAGACTAGTTGAGACCTCGGTGTCCTGGTATACAACTGACTTGTTTTTGTTTTTTTCCTGTCTTAACTCTTAGGTGCACATGAACTTGAACAGATGCAGCTTATTTTAGAATCTATTCCTGTTGTGCATGAGGAAGATCGTCAGGAACTTCTTAGCGTAATCCCAGTTTACATTAAAAGCGATATGACTGAGCCACACAAACCTTTAACTCAGCTCCTCCCAGGCATTAGCCCTGAAGGTAACCTACCACTTTCCTTTCTGCTTCCTGCTCTTGGTTGTCAGTATTTGATTATCAGCCTATTGGCAGGATAACAAGGAAACTTTAAGGCTGTTACAGTGCACAGTGTATGATGTATTACACTGCGGAGGCCCTAGGTCATCATGTGACACTCGAGACTGGTTTTTTGCTCTCAAGACTCCCATTCTTCTCCTTCCCCAAGCCCTCCAAAGATGAATTTCCAACAGGCAACTTTTGCACAGCTCTTCATAATTTTGCATTTTAAAAAATCCTATTTCAAAATTAGAACTGGACCTCTGAATTCCAGTTTTTCCTTTTTGGGTTTTCTGCATTCTGTATAGATTGTCATTTGGCAAACAAGTGAAAACTTGGCTTTGGGAGCAAGAGTTTGGCCCAGTATAATTATCGGTGCAATACAGTTGGAATTGACCCTGGATTGATGAAAATTATTTATTTGGTTATCTGGCTTTGGATCTATGCACAATAGTTGTCTAATGCCTACATATGTTGTTTACAATTGTTTAATTGCTTTTAATTGTTGTTGTTGTTTGGCCATGGAATAATGCCAATTATGTAAGCCACCCTGAGTCCCCTTTGGGGTGAGAAGGGTGGGATATAAATGTCGTTAATAAATAAATAGTTGCAGTGGCAAATATAATGGTCCCTGGACATGCCATAGATGCTTTCTACAGTGTTTTAATGTTCTGATTTTATATTGTTGTGCTGTTATTTATATTGGTTTTTTAGCATCTTATGTTACTTCATTTTCTAATTTTCTGTTGTGTTTTTGTGTTACATTGTTTTACTGTATTGATGGATGTGGCCTCATGTAAGCTGCCCCAAGTCCCCTTGGGGAGATGGTGGCAGGGTATAAATAAAGTTGTTGTTGTTATTATTATTATTATTATTATTATTGACACAAAAACACAGTATGTCACAGCAAACGAGATCTATGTGCTGGATTTTGTATCACAACATCACAAGTCAAACACTTCCCAAGCGTCTAGGACTGTGTGATGTATTTTCGAATGATGCGCGCAGATCCAAGTCAGGTGGCCTTTTGCAGTTGACAGATCGTGATTTTGTCAATGTTTATTGTTTCCAAATACCGACTGAGGTCTTTTGGCACGGCACCCAGTGCACCAGTGACCACTGGGACCACCTGGACTGATTGATGCCAGAGTCTTTGCAGTTCGATTTTGAGGTTTTGATAGCGGCAAGCCGCCCCGAGTCCCCTTGGGGAGATGGTGGCGGGGTATAAATAAAGATTACTATTATTATTATTATTATTATTATTATTATTATTATTATTACAGGAAAGACTTTTAATAGGTCATATGGTAACAATTTTATTATTTTTACTTGTTTTCTAGTTGCAACACATTATTATTATCAACACTTATTATTATGTTTATTTATATCCTGCTTTTTCTCTCCACAAGGAGACTCAAAGCATCTAACATTAAAAGCATTGCAATACCATCTAAAATATACAAATATTAAAACAGTATTAAACAACATTAATATTTAAAACAATTCAGATTCAATCCATAAAAACATAAAAACGCACAGCATCCCCTGACATGATCTTAAAAACCTTCTTTAAAAACCTGCCTGAATAAAAAGGAGAAATCTCTCCCTCAAATACAATAAACCTTGTAACAATACCTTACATTTTGTTCCATCAGAAATGGATTTGAATCAATAAAGATAAAATCAATTTGTCTTCCTCGTTTTAGCCCTGGACTTCCTGGAACAAATACTGACCTTTAGTCCCATGGATCGAATGACAGCAGAAGAAGCTTTGTCCCATCCTTACATGAGTATTTATTCCTTTCCAACCGATGAGCCTATTTCAAGCCATCCCTTCCACATTGAAGACGAGGTAGATGATATTCTGCTCATGGATGAAAGTCACAGCCACATCTACAATTGGGAAAGGTAAGCTAAAGGCATCAAATAGTAGCCATATGTAAAGCTGTCTTGAGGCGGGATATAAATAGAGTAAATAAATAAATGAGCCACTTTAATTAGTTTTGTATGTATCCTGTGGTACTCTTTGAAACACTTGCTAAGTATCTTCATGTGCCAAGAAGCCAAGTGCCATGAGAAGGCAAAAAACATCTCTATGGAGAACAGTTCTTCTTTATCTTAAACTGGATATGCATCGTAATTTTGTCCATTCTAATTAGTCTATGTTCAGTGCACTTAGTTTAATGCAGACCCAAACAATGCCGGTTCTCACTAGGATCAATTTAAATGATTTTAGCTAAAGGCATACAACTCTGTTCTGCAGTGGGATGGGGAGCATTTTTTTGTGCTCACCATTTCTGGGGAAATGTCTTTATTAATGTAGTCATCTGCCCAGAATGTTGACTTTTGTTAAAAACCAAGATGGGACTCCCCCATTGAGCAAACCTAAAGTAAGAAACTGAACTCTGGTTGCTTGTAAAGCTGATGAAGTAATCATGAAACCCATCATTGTAGCTGTTCACATGAGACCGGCACATACTCAGAAAAAATCATTTATGTCTGTACTCCAAATGTGTAGTTTGAAAAGCCAAATCAATAATAATAATAATAATAACAACTGAAAAAGCTGACATGATATGAGGATTTAAAAATTGAACTGCAAAGACTCTGGCGCAAACCAGTCAAGGTGGTCCCATTGGTGATTGGCACACTGCCTAAAGACCTTGGCCTGCACTTAAACACAATCGGCACTGACAAAATTACCATCTGTCGGCTGCAAAAGGCCCCCCTACTGGGATCTGCACGCAGTGTCTGCTGTGGATTCATCTTGTTGTGTTTCTAATAATAATAATAATGATGATGATAATGATAATAATAATAGTATTGATTAGCCCTTAGGCCATATCACAATACCAAACCAGACAACAATGCTTGATAAGACTTGATTTTACTCTATGTAGTAAGTTAAAATAAGACATTTATAACAATACAGTTAATAAATATAAAACTGAACATATACATCGCATTTCCTTATCACCGCTACAATTTACCCCAATCATCCCCACATACGAAGGCAATAACAAGATAATCAATACAAAACAGTAAAATAAATCTCAAAACAAAAATAAACAATAACAATGGGCGGGCCACATGTACAGGATAAAAACGATTCAAACACTCTTAATGAAATAAAAATAGGAGCAAGTTATCTTCAGGGAACTCATAAAAACACACATAGTTGTGAAGCTAAACTTCCCATTTGGAGGGCATGTATTCCAGTGTGAAGAGCGTTGAGGGGAGCAATGGTGTCGTGCTGTGCACCTCGCCAAAGGCGCAGCGGAAGAGCCAGCTTTTGTCCTTTTTGAACGTTTCTAGCAAAGGGGCTTTCCTGGTCTCTCCAGGTAATGAGTTCCAAAGTCAGGGAGCCACAGAGGAGAAGGCTCTCTCCCTTGTGCCCACAAGACGAGCTTGTGAGATTGGCAGGGGCGAGAGAAGGGCCACCCCAGAAGAATGGAGGGCCCGGGTTGGTACGTGGAGAGAGATATGGTCACGAAGGTAGGCGGGTCCCAAACCGTTTAGGGCTTTGTAGGTAATAACCTATACGTAGAATTGGGACCAGAAAATACTGTATATACTCAAGTATAAGCCTAGTTTTTCAGCCCCTTTTTTAGGCTGGAAAAAATCCCCTTGGTTTATACTCGAGACAAGGTTATTTAATATTTTACTCTGCTATTAGTATTACTTTTATTACATTTATTATTTTACTCTATTATTATTACATTTCCATTACTTACTCTATTATTTTTATTACATGTTATTACATTTATTATTTTACTCTATTATTATAGTTAATAGGTAAGCACATTTACATTGAAGAAGGTTAGAATAATGGTTGAATCAGAGTTGCGCGTCTTATCTTAAATTACAGTTTTGTGTAAATACTCAAAAACATTTTACCTACTGATTATTACCAGTAGCAGCTACATTTCTCACCCTCGGCTTATACTCGAGTCGATACGTTTTACCAGTTTTTTGTGATAAAATTAAGTCCCTCGGCTTATATTCGGGTCGGCTTATACTTGAGTATATACAGTAAATGGCAGCCAGTGGAGCTCCTTAAACATGGGAGTAGTATTGAGTAGTATTATTATTTTATTATTATTTTAATGTCATTTTGATAATGTTGTTGTTGCCTGTTGTATATGATTTGATTTTATTGCTGTATTATGTTGTCCGGGCTTGGCCCCATGTAAGCCGCTCTGAGTCCTCATCGGGGAGATGGTGGCGGGGTAGAAATAAAGTTTATTATTATCATATTATAGTATTCAACCCGAAAGTGTTTTGTATTCATAACTCATGCTTGTCTTGACTCTTCTAATGGATGCCAAGTATTTACTAATAGAGGCCATTGATTATTGCAGATATCATGACAGTCAGTTTTCGGACCACGAGTGGCCTGCTCACAACACCTTCGAAGCTGACGAAGTTCAGCGTGACCCAAGGGCTCTTTCAGACGGGACGGACGAGGAGGAAGTGCAGGTCGATCCTCGCAAATACCTGGACGGTGACCGTGAAAAATACCTAGAGGATCCCGCTTTCGATACTCACTTCTCCACGGAGCCTTGCTGGCCATACCCAGATCACCATGAAAACAAATACTGTGATCTAGAATGTAGCCACACGTGTAATTACAAAATGAGGTCCTCTTCCTACCTAGATAATTTAGTCTGGAGAGAGAGTGAGGTGAACCATTACTATGAGCCCAAGCTGATAATTGATCTTTCCAACTGGAAAGAGCAGAGTAAGGAGAAGTCAGACAAGAAAGGCAAGTCCAAATGTGAAAGGAATGGGTTGGTGAAAGCTCGGCTAGCTCTCGAGGAAGCCTCGCAGCAACTTGCAGAAAAGGAGAAGAATCAAGGGTTTGACTTTGATTCTTTTATCGCAGGGACGATTCAGCTTAGTTTACAGCACGACTCAACCGAGATCGATAAATTAAATGGCCTGAATAGCTCCGTGTCCATTTTGGAGTCGAAAGGCATATCGAAATCAGTAAGCAGAGAGAAGCAGGAGAAGGGAATGGCCAACTTGGCCCAGTTGGAAGCCCTGTACCAAAATTCGTGGGATGGCCAGCTTGTAAGTGGGGGGGACGAGTGCTTTCTCATAGACCAGTTTTGTTGTGAAGTTAGGAAAGACGAGCAGATCGAGAAGGAGAATCCATACACCAGTTACCTGGATAGATTTTTTAGCAAGAAGGAAGATACCGAAATGCTAGAAACGGAGCCAGTTGAGGATGGGAAGCCCGTAGAGAAAGAGAGAGAGGGGGGCTTTTTGAGTCACAGCGGGGAGTTCCTCTTTAACAAGCACCTCGAGGCGATAGGCATCCCTCAGTTCCACAGCCCCGTTGGCTCGCCGCTTAAATCAATCCAGGCCACGCTAGCGCCTTCGGCTATGAAATCATCTCCTCAAATTCCTCATAAAGCATACAGCAGCATTCTGAAACACCTAAACTAAACAGCAGACATTTCTTTCTTTTTGTATTCATGAAATGTGTGTTCTTTTTTATTATTATTATTATTGTAAGTAATTTTTTTTTACTTGAAATCAAAACGATGTAACTTTGGTATGAATTTCTTTTAGTTCCCTGTTTACCATTGTTTTTAACGATCCAGAATTACTTTCTTTACATGACAATTTTTTTTAATTATTATTATTATTTTTCAAACTGGCATGTCATTTGCACACGGAGGTAAAAGACACAGAGCAAAACAATGCAAATTGCCGGAGAAAACAAGAAGAAGAAGAATTTAAAAATGCACTAAACCAGGTAGAAACACTCTCAGTTTAAACCGTTCATGCTTTGCGGAGGGAAACGACGCATTTTTTTGCCTTGAAAAAAAAAATCACACAGTGAGACTATACGTACTTGCATGAAAAGATCTATTTTTTTCCCTGAAACATTTTTCATTCATAGGTATTTTAGAATTTTTCATACTGTACACATTTCTTAGACACATGATACCAGCAGCAACTGTAAGTGAATGCAGAATTTGGTACGCATGTGTTATCTACCTCAAGGTAACAGCAGTATGTGGCAAAACATTAACCACCCTTAGTGCTTTTCATAATGCACTTCTATTTAGCCAGCATTATTGTAGTAGGTGGTATTATGGAAAAAATACATTCAATATTTATAAATATTCTGGTATGCATTCTTTATAGTGGAAATGTTAATATGCAGCGTTTTTATTTATTTTAGCAAATTATATTTTCTGTAATGATAGAAAAAAAATCAATTTTTTTTAAACTTGCTTTACAGATAAAAAGTTCTTGTTAGCACTATGGTTTATTGCCGACACAGCTGAAACAGATGAGAAGACACCCCCTTATTCTGAGGTGGGACCCATACGAGTTTTTGTAAAAAAACAAAAAAGAAAAAGATTTCACTTCCAGTAAGGCACTCACTGTGTATAGGAAATTGCAATGGGGAGGTGCTTGACCTCGACACCAAGAAATTAGGAAACGTTTTATTACAAAAGAAAATGCTCCTAGAAGTCTTAATTGTCTTGATTTTTTTAAGAAAACGATTTTTGTAATGTTAGTTGTGTGCATGGAAAGAATTAAGGTACAACATTACTGTAGGTTTAAAAAGTTCGATATGGTCAGGCCTTTTGTTTTTACCGTCTGTTTCTACTGAATGACGCCCTTGTCTCATCATCCCCCCCAAAGCAAGCATGAGTCTAATTAGGTTTAATGTCGCATGTCGCATCTTGGTCTTCTGACGGTTTTGTTTTACCTCCTGGGTTTTTCTGTTTTGTTCTTCTGTTCTTTTTGGGAAACTATGTATCATTGGCTCCCCTGTTTTAAAGAGAGAAAAAAATAAAACTTGGCCAGCAAAAATTATGCTTCGGCGTTTCGAAATGGAAATGTCTCCGTTATCTTGAATTAAGTCAGTGGTTCCCAGTCTGTGGTCCGTGGAACACCAGTGGCCCGCAAGAATGAAAATGTGGTCTGTGGCTTCACCATTACTACACCGTTGCTTCGAAACCACGTAGCAACGAGAGCGACTGGTCTCGTGAAACCCTCTTATAGTCCCGAAGCAACTGGGATGTCGGGAGGGAAGAGGCTGACTATCCCCAAAACATTACTACTCCCACATCAGCTATAATCATCATCATCATCATCTTTATTTATACCCCACCACCATCTCCCCAGTGGGGACTCGGAGCAGCTTACATGAGGCCAAGCCTGAATAACAAGTTACAATAAAAATAAAACCAAAACACAACAGCAAACAGCAACATAATAAAATAAAACATGTAACTACATAACAATATAAAGTTACAATAGACGTAATCACAGTGACAATGGGCGGGCTGCATGTAATGATTAAAAGAGACTAATTAAGATCAGTGTTTCTCAACCTGGGGGTGGGGACCCGTTGGGGGGGGGTCGCGAGGAGGTGTCAGAAGGGTCGCCAAAGACCATCAGGAAACAGCATTTTCTGTTGGTGATGGGGATTCTTTGTGGGAAGTGTGGCCCAATTCTATCATTGGTGGGGTTCAGAATAATAAAAATAATAAAACTATTTATACCCCGCTCCATCTTCCCCAGGGGGACTCAGTGCAGCTTACATGAGGACATGCCTGTCAGTACTGTACCGTATATTCTGGTGTATAAGACTACTTTTTAACCCAAGAAAATCTCAAAAGTCAGGAGTCATCTTATACGCGGGAGTAGTCTTATAGAGCGGGTGCTGAAACTTCCAATCGGATTGGAGAATCTGTGGTTGCATATAGTGGGGGGAGCTCAAAAATGGCAATGGCCACGTCCCTGCCGTATGCTGCGATTGAAAGCATTAAGGGCGATACTGTCCAAGTACGGTAGAAGAAAATCCATTCATCAGGATTCGTGGCCCGCCCTTGTCTCCTATTACCGTACCTCCTCCTCTGCCTCTCAGAGCTCGCTCCTGAAGACTGCAGTGAAGCGGTGCAGGTGCGCATGTGTGAGATCTGAGAGGCAGAGAAGGAGGGACAGAAGGAGGGACAGAGGGACAGTAATATAAAGCAGTATATACCATATTGAAATCAAGTCTGATGCTTCTTAAATTTTTATTTGGTGTGTGTTAGAAAAGGGGTAGTCTTATATGGCGAGTATATCTCAAACTCTATATTTTAACTGGAAAAGTTGGAGGTTATCTTATACGCCCAGACATCTTATATGCCGGAATATACGGTATATACATTATAATAGAAAAATACATTAAATGCAAAGAAATAAAATAAATGACACAAACAATATAAAACAAGCAATTAAAAACAGGATTTCACTGGGCAGGGCCACGTTCAAGGCTAAAATTTTAAAAACACTGGGAGATAGGACAACGTAAATTATCAGGATGGGGATCCGAGAATGAGGGAGGAATCAATTGCATAAACCATAAATAAAGTGCTTCTAAGGACATTCAGTGCAAAATTTGGCCAGGGAGATTCCTACCTTCAATCACGGAAGGCACATGGGAATAACCAGGTTTTCAGATTCCTCCTGAAGATTGCTAGTGGTGGGAGCTTGCCTGATATCTCTGGGGAGTGAGTTCCAGAGCCGGGGGACAACACAGAGAAAGCCCTCTCTCTCGTCCCTGCAAGTCGCACTTGAGATGCGGGGGGGGGGGGGGGGGGGGGGGGGGGGGGGGGGGGGCAAGAGAAGACCCTCCCCGGAAGATTGAAGAGATCGTGTGGGTTTGTAGATGGAGATACGGTCGCGCAGGTAGGTGGGTCCCAAACCGTCCCAAATGCTCTTTGATTGTAGGTGAGCTATAAATCCCAGCAACTACAACTCCCAAATGTCCTATTTCCCCCAAACTTCACCAGTGTTCACATTTTGGCATACTGAGTATCTGTGCCAAGTTTGTCCAGATCCATCATTGTTTGAGTCCACATCAGTTCTAGGTTTGGATACAGAACATATGCCACAAAGCCATTGTCCTCCCAACCCTGCTATACACCTGCGAAATGTGGACTATCTACAGACATCACATGCAACTCCTAGAATGATTCCATCAGCATTGCCTCCGAAAAATCCTGCAAATCTCTTAGGAAGACAGGCGGACAAATGTCAGCGTGCCGGAAGGAGCAGACCACCAGCACTGAAGGGATGGTCCTCCGCCATCAGCTCCGCTGGACTAGCCACATTGTCGGGTTGCCCGACCACCGTCTCCCAAAGCAGTTGTTGGGGTGCTGATCCATCCATCCTTCCATTCATTCCCACACATCATATTAAATTCACAGTTATCAAAACTGCACATTGAATTTCTTATTACAGTCCCTGGGCCAAAAAAAGGTTGGGAACCACTGCATTAAGTATTGCAAAGGGTCCCATGCCTTTTTTGAAGCCTCCCTTCTTTACGAAACAGTCTGAATATCGGTGGCTAGTATTCATTGGCTCTTAAGTTCAAAATCAACTTGATTTACGTGGATCTTGTAGAGTTGTGCTAAGGAAAGCAGTATATACAAGGGATTGATTGAGGTGCTCCTTAAAACCGCTAATGGCTGCTCAAAGTGTTTCCATACTGAGTTTCTTCTCTAATTTTCATTAGCCTGGGCTAATAATTCTATTTACTGGTTTGTTCTGGTTAATCCTGAGGTACTTGGCCCACACTGTGAGAACCCGTGTGATGCTTTATTAACTGTGATACATGAAGTGTCTAACTTTCCAGGCCTCGGGTCACTCGAGCCTGTTTTCCCTTTGGCACCGAACCAGAAGCTTAATTTTAATAATTTAAGTATGAGAAGAATGTGTAGGAAGCTTAGATTGTGTGCCATTTAACACTGTGGCTACTGAATGGCTGAAGCGTTTCATTCAGACCTCTATTTGACAATGGCTATCTCAATTTGGTTCATTGGAACACGCAAGCCCCCTCGCCACGACAAGGTGACAGTTCAACCTCTGTACATGGCATTCATTGACCTTGCAAAGGCATTCGACGCAGTGAATCGCAGCGCTCTCTGGACCATCCTCCAAAAAATTGGGTGCCCAAACAAATTTGTGAACATCCTGCGGCTCCTCCGTGATGACATGATGGCAACAGTCCTGGACAGCAGTGGCTCCCAAAGTGACCCATTTAAGGTGGAATCGGGTGTCAAACAGGGATGATGTGCTATTGCCCCAAACTTATTCTCCATCTTCATCACTATCATACTGCACCTTGTTGATGGGAAGCTTCCCACCGGAGTGGAAATCATCTATTGGGCAGATGGCAAGCTGTTTAACCTCAGCAGACTGAAAGCCAAATCCAAGGTTACAACAATATCTATTATAGAACTCCAGCATGCTGATGACAACATCGTCTGTGCACATTCAGAAGAAGACCTACAAGTCACTCTAAACACCTTCGCAGAAGTATACAAGAAGCTCGGCCTGTCATTTAACATTGAGAAAACCAAAGTGCTGTTCCAGCAGACACCAGCCAATCCCTCTCCAATGCCAGAGATACAGCTTAATGGTGTAACATTATTAAATGTGGACCATTTCCGCTACCTTAGCAGCCACCTCTCCACCAAAGTCAACATTGACACCGAAATACAACACCGCCTGAGCTCTGCGAGTGCAGCATTTTTCTGAATGAAGCAGAGAGTGTTTGAGGACCGGGACATCCGTAGGGAGACCAAGGGGCTTGTTTATAAAGCTATTGTCCTCCCAACTCTGCTATATGCCTGAGAGACATGGACTGTCTACAGACGTCACATGCAACTCCTGGAATGATTCCATCAGTGCTGCCTCCGGAAAATCCTGCAAATCTCTTGGGAAGACAAGTGGACAAACATCAGTGTTCTGGAAGAAGCAAAGACCACCATCATTGAAGCGATGCTCCTCCACCATCAACTCCACTGGACCGGCCACATTGTCCGGATGCCCGACCACCGTCTCCCAAAGCAGTTGCTCTACTCCGAACTCAAGAACGGAAAACGGAATGTTGGTGGGCAGGAAAAGAGATTGAAAGATGGGCTCAAAGGCAACCTTAAAAACTCTGGCATAGACACTGAAAACTGGGAAGCTCTGACTGGAGGTCGGCTGTGACCAGCAGTGCTGTAGAATTTGAAGAGGCACAAATGGAGGGCGAAAGAGAGAAATGTGCCAAGAGGAAAGCGTGTCAAGCCAACCCCGATCGAGACCATTTTCCACCTGGAAACCAATGCCCTCACTGCGGGAGAAGATGCAGGTCAAGAATAGGACTCCACAGTCACCTACGGACCCACCAGAACATTGATCCTGATACTCGGCCAACAAGGGATCGCCTAAGGAAGGAAGGATCTCAATTTGGGCCTTCACCTTAATGCTGTCACACAGCAGGCAGAAAGTGTGGACTGCTGATGCCCTGATAGAACAAAATATGTTGATTTATGGGTGGAAAATTCAAACTGCCATCAAGTTTCAGCCTTTTTCCATCCAGCATGGTATGCACTTTTTCCATTCTTTTTTGATTGACAGCTTCTGTTTACCGTTTGGCCAGAATCCTCATGGAAAATTTGCCTAGAATCCTCATGGAAAATCTCTTTACCTGACCCCATGATGTCTGGTGATTAGGAAAAGTATGTGATTGAGGTAATACAGGAAAAAAAATTAAATACTTCCATATTATATGTAGCACACCGTTACTGAAAGTTTATGTATGTGTCAGATCTGTGCTCTGGACAATACCAATTGTGGAATGATCCATCCCTGGAGAACTCTCTTTCTCAAGGGAGGTATCTTTGAGGATCATCTAGGACAGGACAATGAGTAGAGCTTATGTAACAACTTCTATTACAACACACACTGCCTGCTTTTGTTCTTTTGGAACAGTGAGTAATACTTGAAGAAGAGAAGGCTGAGAGGAGACTGTGCACCCTACTTCTTTTTACTCCTCTTTTGTGTGCTTTCAATTTGTT